CTATCTAATCATCAGTTTCTGGAGCTCCATGACAAACAGACAAGTGGTAGGATTATTGGATTCAATGGAATTTATGGATAGAATATTCATTGATATACAGAAATTCTGTAGCTCCTTATAAGATTACCCCACTATTTGAAATATCTACTTCAAGCAGACATGGCTATTACTTACTACAGTCCATTGTCTTGAGCATCTTCAGTGATGTTAAGACAGGATTAACTGAAATATGAGAAGCAATCACTAGTGTTCAATGATAAAAGCTAATTCTTTCTGAGATCTAATGATGGGCTGGTTTAGTATTAAATGATATGCCAGCAAACATTGTCTGAACAAGAAAGACACTGCAAATCCCCAGCATTATGGTTTGAGAAGTCATAAGACATGATTCAAAATCTTTTGTGTTGATGTTAATGCCCAATGTTACATCAAAAATATCATAAATCTAGTTGTTCTTTTAGTCTTGACCAACATAAATACATTGTTTTAACAAGATAATGTCCATGCACACATTCCCAAATTCACTATTTAGGCTCTGCAGGAAGTAAATGTCTTCCCATGACTTGTTGGATTACTAGACATATCTCTTATTAAGCACATATGATACATGTTTGAAAGACAATTATCCAGGAATAATATTCCTCAGGATACTTTACAACATCTCTATGACACACTGCATGAGACAACCAAAATCTGCACTCAAACACATAGTAGCCATACTCAATTCTAATCAGCTAATGTCACACAGTATCTTTTCTATATTTTGAATACAGATATTTCAAAAGATAAGGGATTAATGTATATGATCAGATATACAGTTCAGAATATTATTAAAAATGCTATAATAGTTGCATATTATTTTCAAACAAAAAAAAAAAAACAGCATTTAAATACATATAACCAAAACTAATTTTATATTTTATATACAAGGTGATTCTAAAAAATGTTCCCAATTTCAAGTATTTATTATGAGAGATGTAATAAATCAGTTGTGACAAAACTAAGATTAATCACTAGAGCAACTCAAAAACTTCTATATCTGCCTGTTCCGTATTAGTTGCACTTGCATCCACCAGGTGGTGGTCCGATTGCATGGCAGAAAATGGCAAGTAACAGACAGCAGAAAGATTTCTGTGTTCTCGATTACCATTTGAACAAGTCTGTTATTGTTCAATGATATTTCTGAACAAAGTTTGGATGGAATCCACCTGCCAGTAAATTGATTCAAAAGTGATATGCCCAATTTGAATCCACAGGCTGCATTTGTAAGGGAAAGTCAACGGGCCATTTGTCAGTAAAAGGAGTGCATACATGATTCATTTGCAAGGAGTTCACAAAAGTCCATGCACCATGCAAGCCAAGAATTAGGAATTCTGCAGATGACAGTGTTGCGAGTGCTGCACAAAAGACTCATCATGAAACCATAACAATTACAGTTGCTGCAAGCTCTGAAAACATCAGACTTCCATTGAAAGTATTATTCACTGCAGACCTGAGAGAACATATGGAAGAGGATGATTTCACATGAAAATTAGTGTTTAGTGATGAAGCAACATTCCACACATGAACAGACATAACATACAGATTTGGGGCATAGAAAATTCCCATCGTGCAACATGAATGTGCATCCCCTAAAATGAATGTGTTGCAAGATTTATAGATCTTTTGTTTTTTCAGAAGCCACTGTGACTGGTAAAGTCTATCTGGACATGCTAATACAATGGCTTTTTCCACAGCTCTGGGAAGATAGTCCAGACTTCATTTTTCAGCAAGATGGTGCACCACTGCATTATCACCATGCTGTTTGTGACTACCTCAATGCCACATTTCCGTAACAATGGATTAGTCATGCAACTACAAGCAATAACAAACTCTTGCATTGGCTGTCACAGTCCCAGTTATCACCCCATGTGATTTCTTTGTGTGGGACTTCATCAAAGATTGTGTTTCTGCACCACCATTGCTAAAACAACTGGGTGACCAGCACAGATGCATTCAGAGATTGATTCTGTCATGCTAGGCAGTGTGTGGCAGGCACTGGAATATCAGCTTGATGTGTGTTGTGTTATGCATGGATCACACATTGAACATTTTTAGTGGAGTAGACAAAAACTTGTTCAGTTGATCTATGTATATGTGTACTTTCTGTTCACCTCTATTTCATTAAACTACCATCATTAAGTACTTAATTTGGGAACATCATTTAGAATCACCCTGTATAATATAGAATAAAACTTTTAGTTATAGACACTAAACAACTACATAATAATGTAATAAGTATATGCAAAAGTACTAATTTTAAATTCATAAAAGTTGTTTTAAATCAGTAAATAAATTTCTTTAAAAATTTTTTTATTGTCAACAAGTAAAAGTTGCATATATTTTGGAGAATGGCTTGAAATATGGTAATCTTTCAAAAATGTAAGTTTGCATTTGTACTTTTTACAATAAAATAGTCAAAGGTATTCTCCATATTTAATTGATTTATTTTTTTCTAGTTAACCCATTGATTTCAAAAGTGAAAAGAAGAACCATTTTGCAGTTTCCATAGTATATAAAAATATGCTCTTTAAGATGCCAAACTTAGATTTAGAATAAATCAAACTGTCTTTCAGCATTAAAGTTGTTTACTTGCAAAGTTTTTAATTACAAATAAATTCAAAATGTCATCTTCAGGATAACATTTTGAAATGTTGATATTAGAGAAAATGGCAAACAGTTATGTTTATTTACATTATTTTAATATTTTAAAAATAAAACTTACAATGAATATATCTTTGTTTTTTTTAATATGTATTTTTGTATTTATTAAATATATAATTTTTAAGGAGTTATAATTCACATCTCGTGAACAACATCAAATGATCTAAAGATGAAGTGTGTTTAATTCCTTGGAAATCTTCATCAAATTAAAAATCTTGTTGATTTCTACAAATTAGTTGTTTTTAATATTTATCTTATAAATGTGGAATATAAGCATTGTGTAAAAATTTAATAATTTTAGAAAATCTTTTATAGTCAATATTTCTGTTATGTAGTAGTAGATATTTTTGAAGTGACAAAAATATTGAGAGTTATTAACATTAACAAAAATTGATTTTTTAAATCCTTCTATATAGAGATCTAGTGTTCACTGCAATGTAAATATACCATGTAATGATTTATAGTTTTTTCATTAATTTAATATTATAAATATCATTATCATTTATCATTCACATCACTACTTGATTTGTTCACTACAATGGACTACTAGTGATAACTTATCACTAAGATGTTTTCTTTTCCAAATAGAATAGAAAGTCCTTATTAAATATCATTTTCAAAATGTAATTGCATTGGTTCAACTTCAAAGTTATGTTATTTAAACGATATTAACGAGTAAATGATTGGCTTTGGTATTATTTTCATCTTCAAGAAAAATACTATTCATAAAGATTCATATGATAGCATTGTTATAACTCAATGCATAACTAACATGTAACTAGACACAAAATGTTTAATGAAAATTTTGACTTGTGCATTGGGAATCCCATATTTAATAATTAGTCATCTGATTTCTGAATTTTATAAGTTTCTTTCTTCTAATTATGTTAAAGTTAAAATATTTACCTAAATTACACAGTTTATGGTAAAACCTGTCCAAAACAGAACCCGAAAAAGAAAACCAGCCTAAATGGAAAAAATTCTTCAGAATGGAATAATTTTCTATATTAAAAAAGAACCTGTTCAAAATGGAAATCTGTCAAACTGAAAAAATATTCAGTACTGTGCAATTCTGATTTACCCAAGCTTTATTGTGTATTTTATTTTGTCCACAAAAAAAGAGCTGTGGTAGGAACATAGGTAGGATTTACCATTTGCATTGAATAATATAATATAATATTATAATACACAACAACAGCATACTTATCCTATAGTAAGTTATATCACATGCTAGCACACAATGCACACTTCACATGTCTAATAATTAAGACTGAATAATGACTGAAATTAATAAATAATTATACAGACATAAGATTTATGTTATTGTCCTTATTTTCCATTTATGTCTTTTAGAACAGCTTATTAACACTAGGATTTATTGGCTTAGACACAACAAAACTGCTATTTGTGAAGTAAGAAAACAATCCTTAGAATAAGGCCTGTAATAATCTAAAGTTTAAACAAAAATAGAACTTTCAAACAAAAATGAATAAAAGTATTCATTTAAAAATTTAATAATTAATTATTTGTAAAATATATAGTTTATAAACTAAATGTAAAATAAAAATTGATATGTATGAATGTAAATATTTGTATATGTATATATAGTTGAATCTGATTAATTCAAACTAAATTTTAACTGTTGGATAATTCATTTCACTTTATTTCCATGAAATTCAGATGTAAATTGATGTGTAAAAAAGTAGTTAATCTAATTTTTTTAGTATAAATTTAGATAATTTGAAACTAGTGTATATCACAAAAATTCCCCAAAATACACATTCTCTAAATTTCCTGGCACATAGATGAAATTGCCATCTGTTTCACATTTTTTGTGATATTTGCTACTACATGAGAAAGGTTTACTGATGTTTGCACAAAGTCTAAACTTGGAACAAAAACTTTTTAATATAAGGATAAACTTAAGTAGATTAAAAGAGTGGAAAAAAATTAGAGAAAATACGATGTTGCCAAAGAATATGGAATTGGCTTTTTAAAATTTTTTGTTTTGGATTTCTTCTAGTGTTCAAATTAAAAAGATTTGATTGTATATGATACATAAATGATTAAACTGAATAACAATAAGCATGAATTTATGTGAATGAAGTAATATAACAACATAATCAATCTAGTATTAGATTATTTCAATTTGCACACAATATAAAATAAAAATTGCATATTACTTGAATTTAAATATTAAACAGAAATTTAAATTGCTTACACAGATTAAAATACTGTTTTAAAATAAAAATTTGAAATAATAAGAACTTAAATATTCAGAAATAAATGTTACATACCTAAAGCATATATTTTGTCATCTAAAACAGCTACACTGAGGGCACTTCTCGGAGATGACATGGAAGCCACTGTTTCCCATTCGTTAAGATCTACATTGTATCTTTCTACAGAATTTAATTGTGATGTTCCATCATAACCACCAATCGCATAGATGTAATTATTTAAAGATATAACACCTATTTAAAAAATGCATAATTTTACTCACTAATAAACGAAATAAACTTATATTTTATTAAAATCTATGTCAAATTAACCATAAATAATTTTAAGCTATAATCTTAAAGTTAATAATATTAAAATCTTTATAATAATAATAATTATTATTATTATATAAATGTACAGATTGATAATGTTTTAGCTTCTTTTTTAAATATCAAGAACTTTTTTAAATAAAAGTGATTCTTCATCACAAAATTAATCACTAATGAATTATAAGTATTTATTTGATCATCATCATTAACTAAGTAAGTGCATATTATAATGTCTTTTTATATTGAATTCTTTTATGACTGTTACTTTTTGCTACCATCAATATGAATGTATCAAAAAAGTTTAAAGGATAAACTATTAGCTGTACAGTCTTTGACTTCTTTGCCACACATTGAAAATGGCTTGAAGATATTTTTATCATGTATAAACTTGTAACAGTAATTTTCTTTTTACTGTAATTTAACATGAAAATTTCAAATTTTTCTTCGAATCCAATTTATCAACCTCCATGATGATGAATTTTTTTAAATGAGTGTCCCTGATCGTGTAAAGTATGGAAATGACTAAACTTTTTGATTTTTTGATGTTTTTCCAAGTATTTTCATTGGTTACCTTTTACTACAACTGAGATATAAATTTATTGTATTTGTTATTTTCATTTAATTGTAAAATAAAGTTTATCTTTTTTTTCTTAAAATTTTATTTTTCTATATTAAATTTAGACTGTTTTTAAAGCATTTAAATGCATATATATTTATCTTCATTTCAATAAATCATTAAATGCCATGGTTACATTGATTTTAGATTTCTATCTTACACTTATTTATTTTCTGGATTCATGAAACAGTCATTGACTTCATTCAAGTTGTAATTCAAAAAACTGAGAAACATTGTATTAAACAGTTGGAATAAAAATTAAATGAAACATCCAATATTTGTTACCTGCTCCGCTCCGAGTAATTTTCATACTGGCAACCGAAACCCATTCATCTTTCTCAGGATTATAACATTCTACTGTATTTAATCTGCAGTTACCATCATAACCACCAACAGCATACAATAATCTTTTAACAACAGCTACTCCCACTCCAATCCTTGGTGTCAACATGTTACTTACAAAACACCATTTTTCTTCACAAGGATCATACCTATATTAAATATAAATATTCAAAAATAATACTTATAAGTTATAAAGATTTACATAATTGACAAAAATTTATTCTATATTTATTTTCAAATTATTTTATTTCTAACTAAAATTATATAACTACAATCTCATAAATAATAATAATACAAATATTGAAATTTTCTCTAAAAATTAATCATATCTAAATATCCATGTAGACATCAAAGCTGCATGAAATGAAATATCATAAAAATGCATAAATGGAATGTGGAAGAAATACACTTTTCAGTTCTGTGATAAATATGGAGATTCCATTGCTGATAACATAGTTATTATAACTATTAAGTTAGCATATGGATGGCCTCAGCAGTTGGCCTGAATGAAGTCAACAAAAAGAAATTTAAATGAATCTCAATTTGAAATCAATTACACAGTATTGCTGCAGTTAGAAGATTAAGATAACAAAGCAGCAGTATCTACTTCCATCAGAAATCAATTTCTTCAGACCATGAACCTACCTATGACTAAAGATTCATTACATCATTCTGAATTCCATTTTACAATCTTTGAATATTATCCAAAGACTGAAAGGAGCTCCACAGTTAGACAATGTTAGAATGTGCTACTCTAACAAGAATTATATGAGAAGAGATCTGTAAGACAAAAATTTCTGGATACATTCTTCAAGAAACCTATGACCTTAAAGAAATAAACAATCCAATAAGGCAAGCATTGGTGTAGATTAATGTTCCTTCCTAAAAGAAATAATTTGTATGTTGGAAATTATTTCTTTTAGGAAGGAACATTAATCCACACCAATGCTTGCCTTATTGGATTGTTTATTTCTTTAAGGTCATAGAGGCATTTTGGGAGCTTTCTTTCCCACTTCAGTATGGCACCCAAGATACTTTATTTTCCTATTTATTTATTCAATTTTTTAATTCATATTACAAAGTTTAGTTCTTAACTTACATTTTTATTTATCAACAAGGCAAGTAAGATTGTGTAAAACAGTGATAAAGTTATTAAAAATTCAGTCTTTCTTCTGGTTTATTAAATTAAAAGAATTACAGACTTAAATCTATCATTTCAGAATCTTTGATTTGAGTAAATTTTTCTGCCTTGCTTTCTACCAAACTTGTGTTTATTTTTTCTTCTTCTTCTCCTTAGTGATGTTGGCTTTTTGTTGATACATAAATGTCTTATTTACAGATATTCTTTGCAACTACTGTTTATTTCTATGCTGTTATTATTATTTAAATTATTACAGGTTTTTTTATACGTATACATTTTGTTTAAATTTCCTAATTTACACGTATTCTTCATAATAAAGGAATTATTATTATCCCTTTTGCAATTATTAATAATACAGTGTTTGTAAAATGCCGACTTTATTTGTTTGTGTTTTAAATTAACTTCATGTTCTTTAAGTAACATTACTAATTGTCATTTCATTTCACATATATATTATTTGGAGTTTATACATATGCAATTATATACTATATTTCATTTTCCCATTTTTGTGTACAGTCCCCTCTCCTTAAAACAAGCATTTATAAAGAGAATTTTGCAATTACCGTGGCAAAACACTGTTGTAATGTTAATTTTCACATGAAAAAGTGAACAAAAATTTTACCAAAATTTGTTAAACCAAACTATAAATTACCTTCACAATCCCTAAGAAATAATCTTATTTCCAATAATAATTTTATTATTTATATAGAAAAGTGTAAAAAGCAAAGTAATACTGTAATAAATGTTCTATTTTGAGTAGAATGGATTTTTTTTCCTAGTAAGCAAAGATGAGTTTGACTCAAATGATAGAGCAATTCAAACATCCAGTTTTAGGTGACCATTCTATTGTACTCAGAAAATAGGAGTTAAAGTTTAAGGATGTCTACCCCTTTAAATGGATGTAGTCCCACACAAACATGTACTATAGGGTTGGCAACTAAGTGATTGCGGATTTTGTCAATAGGTGGCCTTAGCACATTTTTTTGCTGAGTCATCGTGTTCAAAGCATTTAATTTATATTGTTTTCTTGTTGTTTGGACTTCCACCTTTAATTTAGTATAAAAATTGTATTGATTAGTTATTTAGTTTCGTTTTTATCCCAATTTAAAAATGGAAGAACAAGACGTGCATTTCAGACATATTTTATTGTATTATTTCCGAAAAGGCAAGAACGCATCACAAGCACACAAGAAGTTATGTGCCGTATATGGGAATGAAGCCTTGAAAGAAAGGCAGTGTCAAAATTGGTTTGCCAAATTTCGTTCTGGTGATTTTTCACTGAAAAATGCTCAACGATCTGGCCGTCCAGTTGAAGTTGATGAGACCCATATCAAGGCCATTATCGATTCAGATCGTCATAGCACAATGCGTGAGATTGCACAGAAGCTCAATGTATCACATACATGCATTCAAAAAAAATTAAAACAGCTTGGCTATGTCAAGAAACTGGATTTATGGGTCCCTCATCAGCTTAAGGAAATTCATTTGACGCAACGCATTAGCATCTGCGATTCACTTCTGAAACGCAACGAGATTGATCCATTTCTGAAACGACTGATTACTGGCGACGAAAAGTGGATAGTTTATAGCAACGTTAATCGGAAAAGATCGTGGGTGATGCGAGATGAACCAGCCCAGATGACACCAAAAGCTGAGATTCACCAAAAAAAGATTATGCTGTCAGTTTGGTGGGATTATAAAGGAATTCTGTACTTTGAACTTTTACCAAGAAACCAAACGATTAATTCAAATGTGTACGTTCAACAACTCGCCAAACTAAGCGATGCAGTTCAAGAAAAGCGGCCAGAATTGGCAAATCGTAAGGGTGTTGTTTTCCAGCATGATAATGCAAAGCCCCACACATCTTTGGTCACTCGCCAAAAATTATTGGAGCTAGGTTGGGATGTGTTGTCACATCCACCATATAGCCCTGACCTTGCGCCTTCAGATTACCATTTATTTCGTTCCATGCAGAACTCCTTAAATGGTAAAATTTTTAATGACGCTGATGATGTAAAAACACACTTAACTCAGTTTTTTGCTGGCAAAAATCAGAAGTTTTATGAACATGGAATTATGACACTGCCTGAAAGATGGCAAGAGGTCATTGACAAAAATGGACAATACCTAATTGAATAAAGTTATATTTTTAAGCAAAAATTTTGAATTTTCCTTCTTACTTAAAATCCGCAATTACTTAGTTGCCAACCCTATAGTTTGTATATAGGTTTGATATGAGCTAGCCATACCTAGTTGATACCAAATTTGATTCTACCTTTTCAAACAATCTTCAACAGAAAAAAAAATCCCAGATTTCTCTTAGCTTTCTGTTTAACCACTCTGATATATTGCTCTGCACTTAAACAGCAAATACAGTGTCCTCCTCATTTTTTTCTAAACTAAATTTTGTTCTACTAAATAAAGTTAATTTTATTTAATTTTAGTTAGTAAATTAATTCAAAATACTATAATTTAGAGATTTTGTTTGCCTTACAGAGTTAAGGATTGATAAATCCTTAACTCTGTAAGGCAATTGTATAATTTGTAATCTGTAATTGTATAATTTACAGAGTTAAGGATTCATAAATCCTTAACTCTGTAAATTATACAATCTTTAAACAAAATTAATTCCTTGATATAAACTTTTTAAATAGCATATGAAGATAAATAAACACTTTGAAATGAAGATTCAGAAAAAGAAATTCACAAAAAACAATAGAAAACAAAAATGTTGCAAAAGAAATTAACTAAGAATTTTTGGAGAATGTGGACAAACAAATAAGCACGTGTAAGGAAAACAAACAAACTATTTACACATGCTTTTTTACCTTAAATAATGTGTGCATGAATAAAAAATGCCATCTACTGGTTTAAGAATTAAGCCTTTATTATATTTTAACAACTTGACTGATTTCTACCAAAAACTATACTGTTCATATATATATATATATATATGTTATTCTGAAAATTTCATGAATTTTGAATGTATAATTCTTTAGTTATTGAGTCACATAGCCATGGGATTTCTGAAATTAAGGAGTCTTCACTTAACACTCAGACTAATTAATACTGTTTTTTTTCTACATTTACTTTTCAATTATATCACAGAGAACATCAATAACTTCACTAAGAACAAATTTTCCAGTGATTTACTCTTATTACCAAATTTTAATAAATATGACAATAAAAGAAAAATTATGCTAAAATTTTCTAGAAAGGATTTAAATTAATGAATATAAAATTTTATTAATTTTTTCATTCTTTTTTTAAATAAATGAACTAAATTGCTTTATATACTTAGCACCTAAATAAACAAAATTTCAATACTTCAGTACACATACCTCTCAACAGATTTGTGATGAGTTACTCCTTCTGAACCACCCACTGCATATAAAAGACCATCTAAAACACCAACACCAACTCTGTTTCTAGCAACATTCATGGGACAGCAGGATCTCCAAACATTTTTAATTGGATCATAACAGTCTACAGCATTTGAATCTTGATTGCCATCACGGCTGTTGTTTCTTCCACCCACAGCATAAAATTTCCCTTCAATAAATGCACCTCCAAGTCCACTGCGAGGAGTAGGAATATCAGCTAAGGAATACCATTGTTTATCTTCTGCATTATAACATTCCATATTACTGAGGGACTGTTGTAAGTAACCACCAGCTGTATAGATGACAAATGGAACTTTTGGTGTACGTTGATGACAATTGTATTTACGACAAACAGTTAAATCCTAGAAATATTGAAGTGTAATTATAAATGACAATTTGATTATAGAATTTAATCAAACTTAACAGTAATATAGATAACATTTATTGTTAAATAGTACTGGTGATAAAATTTTCATTCTGAGAAGGCAGAGATGGCATTAGAACATTTAGTGAGACAGGTATTATCTGCATATTTTATCACCACACAAGAGGCATATTTTGAATCTGTTCCATTATTTTAAAAAATTCTATTGTTTAAACTACTATAAATAGCAATTGAAATATGATAGTATGTTAATTATGACAATTATTCTTGTAAGAGATGAAATTATCATATTTGGATAGTTTTTAGATATAATAAATCTATGAAATTGAATGAAATTTTATTCAATTTTAAATTACTAAATTCAAAATTAGAAATGGTTAACTGATAGTTCAAGTAATATATTTTAAATTATTTGATAATATGTTTATCTATTAAATATAGTTAATTTTCTTAAAATCTAAACTTCATTATTAAAAGTGATGACTCAATAAAGAAAAATTTTGTTAAGGACTTCAAAAGTATTAAATTCAAAACATTTCCAACTTTAATAGAACCTAACTTCAGCATATGCATAAACTTGACTTTAGAACAATGAAATGGAATATTTAAATACATAAGATTTTTTAAATTTACAACATAAAAAATTTTAAAGTATTCTTTACAATATTCAACTCCATAATATAAACTGAAGAGCACTGACACTAAAATTTTTAAAGGACTTCAACATATTTTTTTATGAATTAAACAATTTGTTGGATTCCTTTAAAAATTTGTTTTTATTGTCAATGCTCTTCAAAAACTTTTAAGAAATAATAATAAATTAATTAAAAATAATGATTATTATTATTATTATTATGTATTGTTAATTTATATGGTAATAATATTGTTTAACATATATTAAATAATTATATAAATAAATTTTTTTCATTTTATAAATATTTATTTTGCTGTCCTGCATTCAATTTACATGTATATTGAAGATTGTCTGAAGTGAGACAGAAAACATTTTAAAATAAATAATTTTGGTATCATCAACTAAACAGTTTTTGTTTATTGGGCTGTTATCACAGTGTGAAGCCTACTTTCATTATTTAAAATGTTTTCAAATATTAAAAATTTGAATTTTAAATTAATATATTTTAAAAACATATCAAGTATACCTGTAATATTTGGGTAAGATATTCACAACATTGAGGCATATTTTTCACTAATTCACATCCTTGAATTTGTTCTTTTAAAAATCGAGGTGTTAAAAAATGACACCTAACTGCATTCAAAATGTTTGAAAGTTTAGGTCCTCTACGTTCTTCATCATGTTTTACCCATCTTAGAACTGAATTAAAAACTTCAGATTCATTTCTGACATTGAGTTCATCTTTTTTAATTAATTGAATTAATTGACAAGGAGATAAAACTAAAAACTCTTCCCCTTGAGATACCTGAAATTATATAAAACTTTATTTCTAAGAATCAGATAATGGAAATATTTTATTTTTAAGTAAAAAAATTTTTTGTCTTTTTACTGATATTTTATTCAAAATCTGTAGTACTGAAATAGGTTATTTTATTTATTCTTTTTCTGTCAAATAATTTGAATAAAATTAGAGTGAAATCAGAAGTAACTAAAAAATATTAATTAAAAACAACTACAAAATATTTTTTCTTTACTCTTTCCAGCCTGTGGGAAAAAATTCTTTAAACACTAAATTGTATTGCAGATAATTTATTTTTTAAAAAATAATAATAATTAAAAACATAACAAATAAAATAAATTTTATATCAAAATTTATTAAATAACTCTTTCCAAAAATTTATATTAACATTAGCAATGTACTAAAAACAGAAATTCTGAATTAAAAAACTTTGTTTAAGAATTCTTATTTTAAACTATGTTAAAGATTTCATTAAAACAAACTGATATTATTATAAAAAACGCTGTAGACTTAAAAAAAAAAAACTCAAAATCAAAATATAACCTGTGAAAAATGTTGATCCAGGAACTGATTTGCTGTTTGATACAATGCTGTGCAACCATGCTGAAGGGCAAAATCTGCTATACCAATACAATTAGATGGATCTAATTGTTTTTCCAGAAATGTACAGCAAGCTTCAATAATATGATTAACCTAAAAAATTCATAATTAAAATATCAGTTAATTTATTATAAAATATATCATTTTACAACATTATACAATTTTTGATCATTTTATGTTTAAAAATATAATGCAAATTTAGTTTAAGATCAGTGCCACTCTATATACATTTATTTTAGATTAAAATATTTTTATCTATAAATTTATGTCATAAAATTTGCCAATGTCAAACTTTATAACTTTAATTGTTGTCTGATTAATACATGCCCATGCTTGTTTCCATAAATAAAGCAGTTCTCTAAACTGAACATAAAAAAACAAACATAGTTAACATATAGAGCATACTCAATATAAGAAATGTTTTATTTTTATATTTTTAAAATTGATTATTAAATTATTTTATAAATTAGTATAAAATATTAAGTGTAAACTTTTGTTTGTAATGTCAACTTTTGTATTGACAAACATATTTGTTTTTAAATACAGTAGAGCATCGATTATCCAACCCCGATCATCTGTCACATCAGTTAACTGACTGCGTTCTAGTCGGCAAATTCAAATGTCAGCTAGTGATGTGGCTCTACAATATTTGGCTATGTCTTGGTTACTTTAATATTATTTTTGTTAAATTTTTGCTTGTTTTAGCTGACAATACTGGCTCAACAATTAAAGGGAGGCCAGTATTTAAACAAGGCTTAATTTTCTAATTCTGAATGGTCGTTTGTTTTGTGAGCAATAAAATAATTTAAAAATAATTATTATTGATACAATAGTGACGATTATTATTTTTAAAAAAATTTGTTAGGCTTAACATCAATGAAAATTCAACGAGAAGTAGGTTAATAGCAATATACTGTACTAATAATGTATTTTTTCATACTTTTCAGTTATCCATTTTTTCAGTTATCCAACCAACTCCAGTCCCCAACTGAGTCGGATAATTGATGCTCTACTGTATATTTATGGCAAAGTTCCATTTTAATTTACTTTATTAAAGAATGAAATATTTTGAAACTTAATGTTTACAAAACAGTCATTAGTCAAAGAACTCTAAGTATGTTTTTCAATGCTTTATAATCACATTGTCACATTATTAGCTCTGAACTATTTAGAAAAATTATAATTTTTAATTTCAAGAAATATAATTTTAAAGCATACCTCTTTCATGAAATTTAATTTTGAATATTCAAATTTTTTTCTATTAGTAAAATACTATAAATAACAAAACATACCAGCACTAAATTTAATGTAAAACAAATGTTTTCAATCACTTTTATTGTTCAGCATCAAGTACCAATTGAACAATTCAAGCATTCTATAAATTTAAATTCATGTGTCTATAATATAATCGTAATACAATCAAAAAATATAATATATGTTTATATATATATCTTTTTTTAATAGGCACATATTGATGACTATCAATATATAAGACGCAAACTCCTTGCCCAGGTCATAAAGGAGTTTTATATATATATAAACTCACATATGACCTAAAACTTTTACTGATGATAGCATTTTGATTATATTTAATTATCAACTTTTGCATCTTTTATCCAAATTATTTTAAAAGTTCAAAATAATATGTACTTAATTCATTAATTACAACAATATATTCATTGATTGTTTCTTGGGCATGCAAATTTAAATTATAGGCATTATTTAAAAAGGAAATTCAGATAAACATCATGTTTTAGCAAAATTTACCAAACATATCTCTGACATTAAAAAGTTTATTATTTTGTTTAAAATTACTGCTGAAGTTTATATTTGAGATAAGATAAATTAAATTTTTAAAAGTGTTTTATCTTTTAAAAAGTTGCTGACTCCTTTAATGTTTAACATATCATTAATTATTTAATTGTTAATAAGTCATACATGATATTAGAGTTATTAAATCACAAAGTAGTTATTAATAGTGATGATAAGCATTATTGAACAGATGAGCATAATTCTGAAATGAGATATTAATTTAAAATTTATGTTTGTCTCTTTATTAATCAGAAATACAACTTGAATTTATGCTTTAAAATTTCAAACTTGATATTTATATTAGAAATATTTTCTATAAATTTGATATAATCATGCTTTCCTCAAATTTTCTTTTTCCTCCTGTTTAACTTATTCTAAATAAACATTGTTTTAAAGTTTCACTAAAATTAGTTTATGATGATTTAATTTTGAAATATAGTAACCAAACTTTTGATAATAAGTAAAGAATTTATGTAAATAAAATTTATCAATTATATGGTAAGCCAATAAAAAACAAATATCAAATTACTGTTAATTTTATTGTTATTTGTTATATTTATGTGCCATTTATTGAATTATTGTATATTTGTTATTTTGAATTTAAATTTATTGTATAAAGCCTGTAGTTGGTTCTATACTTGAATCTGATGGTAACTACTAAAGTAACTAAAAATATTTATTAAAAATTTGATTATTTGTTTGATTATTTACTTTTTTATAGAAATCTGTCATTTTGCTGATTCTGATTATTAATAAATATTTAAAATTCTAAATTATTTAACTAAAGCATATTATGTAAAAAATACATTTGCAACATTTATGTTAAAAATGTTTTACCTGAAACATTGTTGCTGCTGGTAAGAGATTACAAACATTCATTTCTTCCACTTTGACTTCCCCAGTATAAGCAAATTTGATAATAAAGGCCATTGTTACAGGTGAAACACCTTGAATATTAATAACAGACATTTCAGATTCTTTTAAGCCACTGGTGAACATGGCTCTAAAATAAGGGCTTGCAGCTGCCAGAACTATTTTGTGCGCATGAAAGGTATCATTGTCCACACGAATTTCTACATCACATAATTTCTGATGACGTCTCATCATATTCATCATATCTAAAGCTTCTTTTGGAAATGAACTATTTACAAATGTCATTGAACCATTGACAGCAGGGTTATTTTCATCAATAGGACGTGGCTTAAAACATGCTGGACTCCTAAATGAAGTACAGTCTGATTTTTCTGCCATTTTTAAAAGTTACATGAAAATTATCAATTTATAAATATATAGAGTATTATAAATTCATTATAAAATGAGAACAAGTTTAACAATTTATTTCTACATTCTAATAACTCAGTTAAGCTGGAATATGCTACAGGCAATGACATTTTCCACTAATGACAATTGCAGATATACAATTAGTAAAAATAAGCTGAAAATAAAAATAAAACATTTTAAGTATACAATCAATAAAAGTACTTAATTTTAAACTATTTTATATTATAGAAAAAAACTTTTAATAACATTAAATATTAATTTATCAAAATTTTTCATTAAAATTAGAAGATTGAAGAATAATTTAAAGAAAATTAAACAAAGAGATAAGTACAGTACAACTTTATTTTAATGATTTTTTCTATAACTACAGTAAATTCCTGATTATCCGGGCTAATGGTGGGGAGAGGTGGCACAGATAATCCAGAAACATGGATAATCCGAACTATAATTATTTATTTCTAAAATACAACATATAGATTCGATGTAGATTCACCTTTTTCAAATTTTTCAATTAACGTTAATTTTTGTTTTATAGTAAGTACGACTTTCTTTTGATTATTAGGCATTTTAAGGGTACTTATATGAAAATTAAAAAAAAAACATCTTATTTTACATAATTTTACACTAAAAGTATTTGTGGGAGAGTTATTTGAAAAAAAATATTATGTATAATATGTATTATACATACATACAATACATATAATCAAATCTTAAATTGTAATACGTATTATAACATGCAACTAAACGAAACTTTGTATAAATGTACTCACTATCGTTTTATCTTCTGAAAAGAAACATCCAGTGTGAAAGAAGTGGCCTAACTAAAACCAGTCTAGCTGACTTCAGATATCCCCACCACCTGCTTCAAACATCTAAACACGAACATGTGCACACTTATCTGATGTGTAAACATGAAAGCAAGCAACTATTTAAAAAATACATACACATATAATTATTTTCTTTAAATTAAATTCATGCACAGATAATCCATGCACGGATAATCGGGAGTTTACTGTACTTTATATTTCATGAAAATTTTCATTAACATATTTGTTTCTGTTTAACAGGATGGTGTCATGCATCCTGTTAAACAGAAACAAATATGCTTTTAGGAAACAGAAAGTGATGTCTGTTTCCCAAAATGTGACTGGCATATATTTACATTTCTCCCGTTTCTTTATGCAGTGAGAGTATAGTGAAATGATGTCACGAGCAGTGCTGGCCAATTAGAAACCAGTTTCAGTGTGTTCGCTGTAAAGCGCTTCTTGAGCGCTGCATAAAAAAATGCGGGACATGGGACAAGATGAAAAATAAAAATTTCTTAGTGAATTTCTTGAGTTGCATAGGAATGTTTATACATTACAAAATTTAATGTCTTGAAACAATACTATATAGTCATATTTATGAACTATTATATTTTTGCTTCAAGATTTCTTAAATTATTCTATCTTTCCAGAATATAGAGTTGACATTAATTTTAATTTTAAGATCCTTTACACCTACTTACTCTTTAATTATCTAATTGTAGTTATGTGAAAGAAATTATAAAGAAATAAATATAACAATTTAAAGATAAAGCATATTACATATTCAATTTTTTGAAACATCAATATAAATAAATATTTATAATTCCATATTATTTTTAGCGTATTAATAAAAAAAACCACAAAACTCTATATAAAATATCAGAATTATAAATAATATATATTGTATATGGACATTTAAAAGAATATTGTACTTTCATTATCATAAAACTATATAAATTATACACATTAGCTCAGCAATTCACTCTTGCAAAAATGGAATAATCAAAGTGAAGAATTTCACAAATGGGCACAAATACAGTATAGCAATATTCTGTTTTTGTGCAGATTAAGTCAGAAAAGAAATTCTACATAAAAAATATATGCAAATAGAAAACCTAGTAATAAAATACAATAACTATGAATAATGGGTAAAAATTAGTGAAATATATTTAAACATGAACACAGATTATAAAAAAAAATGTTTTGATCAATATGTTAATGGTAACACACTTTTTAAATAATTTTATGGGAAGAAAAAAGTAAAATTTAACTATTATACAAACTTAAAATTATTAAACTTTTTCAGACACTGTTATTTTCTGGGAATTATCATATCCACAGATTCCAAAAATACTAACCAATCAATAACTTTATTTTACCCAGATGCATTTTGGAAATTACAATATTTCCCTCCTCAGCTTTCTTTCATACAAGTTAAACAAGGCACAAACACTTTTTCAATACTCTCACACAATTAAAGCAACCGGCCTATTCTCCTACTCGTCTACTGCACTCTCCTACTGCAACTGGCTGATTGCAGCATGAATTTTGGAGAATGAGATGAAAAATATAGAATAAAGGTACTGATGGCAAGAACTGTGCATATTATGTAAGGTTAAGGAAAAGAACACAGGAAAAAATGATTTTATTATGGAAATTAGTAAAAAACAGTTGGAATATTGAAAAATTATGTGAGAGTATTGAAAAAGTGTTTGTGCGTTGTTTAGCTTGTATAGCCCACTGATGAGGGAAATATTGTAATTTCCAAAATGCATCTGGGCAAAATAAAATAGTTAAGTGGTTAGTATTTTTGGAGTCTGTGTATGTGATAATTCCTACAAAATAACAGTGTCTGAACAAGTGACACATTAAAATTTAAAAAAAAAAGAAATTGAAGCAGAAGAATAAATCATAGTTAGAATAATTACATGAAAAAAGTGTCTAGCATAATCTGTTTCCTTTGTTTCTCTACAATTAGCAGTACATATTACATATTTACTAATATGTAAAATCAACAATTTAAAGTAGTTTAGTAACTATATATTTGTTTCATCTATAAGAAATGTAACTATATATTTGTTTCATCTATAAGAATTTGGACATTTTTCAATCCACTCTCATATGATTACAGTATAGTATTTTTGTCTCTTAAATGTATACAAAATGATTTCTGCTTTCTACCAGGTCTTTTACATTGTTGTAACTTTAAAAAATTTTAAAAATATAATTTCCTCTCAAAAATATATGGAAATCATATAGAGAAATGAAGAAATAAAGAATTCTGAACTTAAAAAATTTAATCTAGCATTTTTTAAATGCTTTCAATTATTCACAATTTCTTCAGAATCATACTCAGAGCTCATAATATATATTCAATAATCATCATCATAGCACACATTAGAAATAGAACTAACTGGCCATCAAATTTATTGAATATTAAAAAATAATCAAACATTCATTGCATTTTGATAAAAAATTCAAAAATTAATTTTAAAAAATTGCAATACAGACGTGGTTTGAAAGTATGCATAAACAAATACAATATTAGAATATATAATTAAAATTCACAGGATTAAAAGAAACACTCAAAAATAAAAAATGAGTTTCTTCATAATTCATCCTTTTCACACACCTCAAAAACTCAACAAAGTCACACAGTAAATCTTTATTTCTATCTCATCTCAATATTAAAATGACCATATGGCAATGGCACAGTGTAAAAGGGTCATTGATAAAATATCCAAGACAATAAATATATAATCAAAAAACTCATAGGATTTTGTTTTCCATCATGTGACTATTAAATTCATGCACAGATAATCCATGCACGGATAATCGGGAGTTTACTGTACTTTATATTTCATGAAAATTTTCATTAACATATTTGTTTCTGTTTAACAGGATGGTGTCATGCATCCTGTTAAACAGAAACAAATATGCTTTTAGGAAACAGAAAGTGATGTCTGTTTCCCAAAATGTGACTGGCATATATTTACATTTCTCCCGTTTCTTTATGCAGTGAGAGTATAGTGAAATGATGTCACGAGCAGTGCTGGCCAATTAGAAACCAGTTTCAGTGTGTTCGCTGTAAAGCGCTTCTTGAGCGCTGCATAAAAAAATGCGGGACATGGGACAAGATGAAAAATAAAAATTTCTTAGTGAATTTCTTGAGTTGCATAGGAATGTTTATACATTACAAAATTTAATGTCTTGAAACAATACTATATAGTCATATTTATGAACTATTATATTTTTGCTTCAAGATTTCTTAAATTATTCTATCTTTCCAGAATATAGAGTTGACATTAATTTTAATTTTAAGATCCTTTACACCTACTTACTCTTTAATTATCTAATTGTAGTTATGTGAAAGAAATTATAAAGAAATAAATATAACAATTTAAAGTTAAAGCATATTACATATTCAATTTTTTGAAACATCAATATAAATAAATATTTATAATTCCATATTATTTTTAGCGTATTAATAAAAAAAACCACAAAACTCTATATAAAATATCAGAATTATAAATAATATATATTGTATATGGACATTTAAAAGAATATTGTACTTTCATTATCATAAAACTATATAAATTATACACATTAGCTCAGCAATTCACTCTTGCAAAAATGGAATAATCAAAGTGAAGAATTTCACAAATGGGCACAAATACAGTATAGCAATATTCTGTTTTTGTGCAGATTAAGTCAGAAAAGAAATTCTACATAAAAAATATATGCAAATAGAAAACCTAGTAATAAAATACAATAACTATGAATAATGGGTAAAAATTAGTGAAATATATTTAAACATGAACACAATTACTGTTAATTTTATTGTTATTTGTTATATTTATGTGCCATTTATTGAATTATTGTATATTTGTTATTTTGAATTTAAATTTATTGTATAAAGCCTGTAGTTGGTTCTATACTTGAATCTGATGGTAACTACTAAAGTAACTAAAAATATTTATTAAAAATTTGATTATTTGTTTGATTATTTACTTTTTTATAGAAATCTGTCATTTTGCTGATTCTGATTATTAATAAATATTTAAAATTCTAAATTATTTAACTAAAGCATATTATGTAAAAAATACATTTGCAACATTTATGTTAAAAATGTTTTACCTGAAACATTGTTGCTGCTGGTAAGAGATTACAAACATTCATTTCTTCCACTTTGACTTCCCCAGTATAAGCAAATTTGATAATAAAGGCCATTGTTACAGGTGAAACACCTTGAATATTAATAACAGACATTTCAGATTCTTTTAAGCCACTGGTGAACATGGCTCTAAAATAAGGGCTTGCAGCTGCCAGAACTATTTTGTGCGCATGAAAGGTATCATTGTCCACACGAATTTCTACATCACATAATTTCTGATGACGTCTCATCATATTCATCATATCTAAAGCTTCTTTTGGAAATGAACTATTTACAAATGTCATTGAACCATTGACAGCAGGGTTATTTTCATCAATAGGACGTGGCTTAAAACATGCTGGACTCCTAAATGAAGTACAGTCTGATTTTTCTGCCATTTTTAAAAGTTACATGAAAATTATCAATTTATAAATATATAGAGTATTATAAATTCATTATAAAATGAGAACAAGTTTAACAATTTATTTCTACATTCTAATAACTCAGTTAAGCTGGAATATGCTACAGGCAATGACATTTTCCACTAATGACAATTGCAGATATACAATTAGTAAAAATAAGCTGAAAATAAAAATAAAACATTTTAAGTATACAATCAATAAAAGTACTTAATTTTAAACTATTTTATATTATAGAAAAAAACTTTTAATAACATTAAATATTAATTTATCAAAATTTTTCATTAAAATTAGAAGATTGAAGAATAATTTAAAGAAAATTAAACAAAGAGATAAGTACAGTACAACTTTATTTTAATGATTTTTTCTATAACTACAGTAAATTCCTGATTATCCGGGCTAATGGTGGGGAGAGGTGGCACAGATAATCCAGAAACATGGATAATCCGAACTATAATTATTTATTTCTAAAATACAACATATAGATTCGATGTAGATTCACCTTTTTCAAATTTTTCAATTAACGTTAATTTTTGTTTTATAGTAAGTACGACTTTCTTTTGATTATTAGGCATTTTAAGGGTACTTATATGAAAATTAAAAAAAAACATCTTATTTTACATAATTTTACACTAAAAGTATTTGTGGGAGAGTTATTTGAAAAAAATATTATGTATAATATGTATTATACATACGTACATATAATCAAATCTTAAATTGTAATACNAAAACACAGAATTTATAAAAATATTTTAATAATTGACATATGTTTCTTTCACATTTCAAATAAAATTAATTTTTTGTATCTTTTCCAAAATATTCCAAAAAAAATAATTTTCTTTATATGTAAATTATCACATAATTTACAATCCTTTGTTACTGCATGTTATAAAAGTGTTGATAGAAAATGTTTATGTAATTTTAGTTTATGAAATGATCTTGAAGATATTATTTGAGTTTTAAATTAAGATATGAAAATACAAACCAAACACAACACTGTATGTGTTGCAATTTTGAACAATTAAATATTCTAATTAACTTTATAATTAATTAATTAATTAATTTTTCATTTTATTATTTTTTTCATTTTTAACATTTTTTCATTTCATTTTTATTTTTTTCATTTTTTCTGCCATTTGGGCACTAAGACAACGTTTCTTCTATACTTAATGCGGGCAATGACGGCAGTTAAATGATGAAGGATGGTGCCTTACATAACTAGGACAAACCACTCATGAAAAATTCCTGGGGAATTACTCACCCAGGTTCAATTCTTGGTTCAATCCCCAAAGTGATAGGCTGATGTCTTAACCATTTCAGCCATGTCCAGAGTGGTAGGTTGATGTCTTAACCAGCTAAGATGGTTATCCCAGCTGTCTGTCAACATTTAAAAATTATTCCTTATCATTCTATAATAAAAACTGAATAGTGGAATTATGAATTTGAAATATGTATAATTTTTATTTTATAATATTTTTATAATTATATTTGGTTTGATACTCGTTTATACTATTAGTACTCCCTATTTTTGTTTAAAACAAGCAAACAATGACTACTAAACAGTAATGGTAGTGCTCTAATTGCTATGAAACAGTAATTAATTGAGTAATACAGACAATATGCACTTATAATTGATTATGTTAGCATGTCATTCATTTTTCATTCAGTGATGACTATAAATTTTTTAGAAAAATATTTAAGCTATTCCATTTTTCCAATAAACTTATTAAAACTAAAGTAAATCAAAGAGTACAATTTACTTAGAAAATATTTCTAATTCTAACATTTATCAATAAACTTATTAAAACTATACTTTTCTGAATAATCATAAATAATATCATTATTTATAGGAAACTTAAGTCATTATTCTTCGTTGAGTTACTGATAATCAAAAATTGGCAAAAGTCCAACAGAAAATATTGCAGTGTCATTATCTTCAAATTATTTACATAATCTTAAATTTTCAATCTCTCAGCTTTCTTTCATACAAGTTAAACAAGGCACAAACACTTTTTCAATACTCTCACACAATTAAAGCAACCGGCCTATTCTCCTACTCGTCTACTGCACTCTCCTACTGCAACTGGCTGATTGCAGCATGAATTTTGGAGAATGAGATGAAAAATATAGAATAAAGGTACTGATGGCAAGAACTGTGCATATTATGTAAGGTTAAGGAAAAGAACACAGGAAAAAATGATTTTATTATGGAAATTAGTAAAAAACAGTTGGAATATTGAAAAATTATGTGAGAGTATTGAAAAAGTGTTTGTGCGTTGTTTAGCTTGTATAGCCCACTGATGAGGGAAATATTGTAATTTCCAAAATGCATCTGGGCAAAATAAAATAGTTAAGTGGTTAGTATTTTTGGAGTCTGTGTATGTGATAATTCCTACAAAATAACAGTGTCTGAACAAGTGACACATTAAAATTTAAAAAAAAAAGAAATTGAAGCAGAAGAATAAATCATAGTTAGAATAATTACATGAAAAAAGTGTCTAGCATAATCTGTTTCCTTTGTTTCTCTACAATTAGCAGTACATATTACATATTTACTAATATGTAAATTCAACAATTTAAAGTAGTTTAGTAACTCTATATTTGTTTCATCTATAAGAAATGTAACTATATATTTGTTTCATCTATAAGAATTTGGACATTTTTCAATCCACTCTCATATGATTACAGTATAGTATTTTTGTCTCTTAAATGTATACAAAATGATTTCTGCTTTCTACCAGGTCTTTTACATTGTTGTAACTTTAAAAAATTTTAAAAATATAATTTCCTCTCAAAAATATATGGAAATCATATAGAGAAATGAAGAAATAAAGAATTCTGAACTTAAAAAATTTAATCTAGCATTTTTTAAATGCTTTCAATTATTCACAATTTCTTCAGAATCATACTCAGAGCTCATAATATATATTCAATAATCATCATCATAGCACACATTAGAAATAGAACTAACTGGCCATCAAATTTATTGAATATTAAAAAATAATCAAACATTCATTGCATTTTGATAAAAAATTCAAAAATTAATTTTAAAAAATTGCAATACAGACGTGGTTTGAAAGTATGCATAAACAAATACAATATTAGAATATATAATTAAAATTCACAGGATTAAAAGAAACACTCAAAAATAAAAAATGAGTTTCTTCATAATTCATCCTTTTCACACACCTCAAGAACTCAACAAAGTCACACAGTAAATCTTTATTTCTATCTCATCTCAATATTAAAATGACCATATGGCAATGGCACAGTGTAAAAGGGTCATTGATAAAATATCCAAGACAATAAATATATAATAAAAAAACTCATACGATTTTGTTTTCCATCATGTGACTTAGTTGTGTTCCTGAGTTGTATGAAAAAGATAAATTATAAAGATGTTTTTTGTTTTTCTTTCACAGTGTTTCTTCTAATCCTGTAGATTTTAATTATATATTTATTGTCTTGGATATTTTATAAATTAGAAAAATATACTTTAAATAAAAATGTTCCAATAAACTGAATTAATCAAAAAAAATAAAATACTGTACTTTGAGAACTGCTGAAAAAATATATTACAACAATGTACTGTACCTTATTATTTAATATATTTAAGCATTAAATAAACTGTACTGTACCTAACCTTGTAAATTGGAATTATTATAAGTTAAATTGAGTTATTTAAAATTATAATATGACTAAATTTACATTCACATAAACTTGACAGGTTTATAATACTTTACATCAAAACATTTAATCAGTTAATGTTTTAAAAAATGTTTCAAAACAAACAAAGCATGAAAATTAAATTTTAATTTAATTATAATTTTATTTATTAAAATATGCAATAAGCAAACAGTATTTTTAAATTCTTGTATATTTCTGTATGATAATTATTTCTCTCTAAATTTTATATACTTTTAAAAGTATATAAAATTTAGAGAGAAATTATGTATTTTTGTATTTTTAAACACTTTTTAAAACACTAAAAAGTGTTTAAAAATACATAAAATATAATATTCATATATACTTTTACAGAAAGATAGTTAATAGTTTATTTGATTAAATATGATATGAAAACTTACTGAATGAGGTATTATATTTAGAAGCAAAAATCAATACTGGCTTTCCTCATATTGTTTTTCTATATAATGGAAAAAAATAAATATATATTAATTTACTATAAAAATAATTTTATATAAAACCAACAATTTCAAATATATTAGATTATTTTTATTATTAAAATAAATATAACTATTTTCATATTTAATACTCATTGCTAAATAAAATAAACATTCAATAAACTTATTAAAACTATACTTTTCTGAATAATCATAAATAATATCATTATTTATAGGAAACTTAAGTCATTATTCTTCGTTGAGTTACTGATAATCAAAAATTGGCAAAAGTCCAACTGAAAATATTGCAGTGTCATTATCTTCAAATTATTTACATAATCTTAAATTTTCAATCTGTTTATAATGAATGTGCAAAATTCTTTTTAAATTTTATTAATTATTTAATACGATAATTTTAATTATTTCATGGGAAATTTTTAATGAAAGCATTATTATTATTATTATTATTATTATTATTTCTGTACAGTAAATACTGTGATTTCAGTATACAGTGCATGATGAATCAGCATTTTATTTTATAGATCTCTACTTATCTTATCATTAAGAATAGAATCAGAATATTTTTATTAATTGTAGTAAGCAAAATTTACTTATAAAATAATATAAATTATAAAGCAAAGAATTTTGGATGTACTATCCCTCCCATCCCTCATTTAATATATAATAACCCATAAAATGAAGATGGGCATGTGGTTGTTACATATATATATATATATAATACATAACACATGCCCATCTTCATAACACACGTGTGTGTGTGAAATCTCTACTTATCAAATTACAAATTTACAAATTTAGATCTGATTTTTTTCAATTTAATCTACTTATAACTAATTTATACACAAAAAATTAAACTAAATTTCAAGTTTTCTGCTTTCTGCAAATATAATTCTTTGTATTTTATATTCATAAATGAAACATTGTAATTGTTAAAACTGAATACACAAAAAAAAAAAAACAAATTCTTTTCTAGGTAAATAAAACCACTTGAAAATTTCCTTTTATGTTACAATTCATTTCATTAAAAAAATCATGCAACTTCTCTTCCATTTGTGAAATAAATAAGGCAAATCAGTCAATATAGCATGTATATGTGAAAAAAAAATTATAAAGTTTGATTATTATGAACTAACAAAACCATTTGGATTATCAAATAAAGAAAATAATCAATTATCTGTATATTCAATATTCTTTTTAATTACTGATTAAAATAGAAATTTTAATCCATTACTTGTTTTCAATATTACAAATTGAAATTAGTTGTAAGTTAAGGAAAATAATGACAATGATAAATTTCACAAAACAAATTATAACATGTTTTTTAATTAATCAGTTATATTTAGTTTACTTAATTTCAGAAATATTTGTTTAACTATACTTTCAAGAATTTCTTAAAAAATTATAATGCTTATATATTGCATAAAAAATAAATTTACAAAATAAAAAGTTTAGCAAATCTTTCTGTCATTAAAAATTCTTGATATATATAGCATATTTATTTAAATTCCAACAGCTTTTTTATGTGAACTTAAGTAAAATTTACTCTATTTCAAAATCTTAATTTTTATTAACACATTAAGTGTTTTGAAAAATTTAATTCCCAATTTTAGAATATACATTTTAGAAAACTTTTGTTTTTAAGAATTACTGTAACAAATTTAAAGCTTTACTGTAAGTCTGAATTTTACCAGTACAAATGATACTGAAGATAAATTGAATTCTTTCAGAAATTGTACGTTCATTTTTCTAATTTAATAGAGGAAAACTAGTAAGTACAAATAAGATTATTAAATGTAAAAATCATGTTTTGGTTATTCAAATTTATCTTTGACTACTTGCTTTGCATTTCATATTTCTGGCAATCAAATTTCCTATTACTTTTTTCTCGCAAAAAATTATTTACAAATGAAACTTTTTCTAAAATGTCTTAACAATCTGTTGCAATCAAAAAATTTTATTATAAATAATTGTATGAAATCTGATTGAAAAATAATGAGAATAAATTTGTATGTACATTACAGTAACATTGTAACATTCATTTACATAACAGTCAATAACTTTTCCTGAACATTTGGAACAAGCTTTAACCTTCTTGTGTCAACATAACAGGTATTGAAGATTTAATGCTCATATGTTCCAAATAGCTGTTATAAATGAATGGAGAAAAGTATTGAACAATGCTAATCAGTGAAATTTCATATAAAATTGAAAAAGAATGCAACTGAAACTTATGATACATTAAAAACTGTGTATGATAGTGAAGCTCTGTCACATGCTCGTTAGCATAAAACGTTTTCAGAAGGAGAGAATTTCAAGGGAATGAGTCAAGATCAGGATGTCCTTCAACTTTCAGTTTGGGTGATAATGTTGAACATGTATGGGGAAGTGTCATTCTTCAAGTTCAAAGAATAACAATTAGAGGTCATCATTTTGAAACCATCAAGAACATCCAGAAAATTGTAACCAATGTTGTGCAACAGCTGTATGAAAATGACTTCCAGGAACGGTAAGAGGTAGGGAAAAAGATATAATAAATGCATTATGTCAGAAGGGGCTTACTTTGAAGGGAATTAACATTAAAATGTAACAATTTTAAATAATTGATCTGTAATAAAATTAGTCTCAACACTTTTCAATCAGACCTGGAAATAATAAACAGCATAAAAATATCTTCCAAACCCAAATACAGTTGACCCCCCTATAACGCTGTTGATAATTCCATTTTATATGAATTCCATGTTGTATGAGTCACTTAGATTTTACAAATACGTGTGCTGGGCTGTGAATGGCTCACATACAACATGGAATTCATATAAAACGGAATTATCAACAGTGTTATAGGGGGGTCGACTGTAAACTATATTTTATTTTTATGTATATCACATTATTGAGATTTTATATGTAACTGTAATTATTAGGAATTGAACACAAACATTATTTTATTTTCTGGGATCATTATATTTCACTTGAGTTTTTTTTCTTATTTTGGAGAGTTTCTTTTGTTGTAAGAGCAAAATATCTGCATTCTCCATTCAAAATTAATATCCATTTGAAAAACTGATTGTTGTCCCATGCTTACTGTTGCTTACATCAATAGATCCTAGTCAAAAATGGCATTTACAATTTGGTGAATAAAAAGAAAATGATCATTAAATTGTTTTGTCTCAGGGTAATTTATTCTATGCAATATATGTCATTGGTTATATGATGTTAAATATTATAAATTGTTGGAAAATTGTTGGTAAAACAATTGTTAGCAAGTAAGTATGTAAATGAGCACACAATAACATTAAAAATAAAATGTCACATTCAATACTTAAAAAACTGCAAGAGCAGAGCCAAAGTGTAATTCCCAGTCGACACAGAGTGTGATGAGTAGGTGATTAGTTTGAGAAAAATTGAGATTATAAGATAGATCTAAGTTAGAAGTTAAGAATCATGCTACTATCAGATAAATATTTGTTAAGTTCTTTTTCTATTTAAAATAATAATTAAGTTTGAAGTAAGTAATTTATTTTTGCAGTTATCATTGTATCACTTAAAACTTAGTATTAATTAAACTTTAATAGAAATTTGCTAATTATAAACTAACTAATGTAGTTTTGTGAATTGTATCATTGTTAATAAGGTTGAGATTTGTGACCTTGTACAACTACATAATGCCAATTATTTTTGATTACATTAAAACCTATATTATACATATATTTTTATAAATCATTTAACCCAAGTTTTTAACAGTCAAATATGTCAATACAGGATTTTTTGTGCTGTAATTTGGTAAAACTTTTAATTAATGTATTTGATATAAAGATAGATAATTAGGTTGCCATCTTGTATTAATATTAATAGTTAAATCTTTGTTTATCTTAGATCAAATTACTCAACTTAATAAAACGTTTAGCCAAATTGTAGCCCAAAAATATCCATGAAAGATCCTTGGAAATCAAGATGAATACTTATTACAGATATTGAAAGAAATGTGAAAAATTTTGTGAGCAATATCTTGTGAGATATATATATATATGTTATGGACAAAGTGATTAATCGGGCATTATTCATAATGACCGGGCATTATGAATAATGACCAAGTAGGGTGGGCAGTGTGATAAATATTGATTAATTTATCAAATTGACCGATCATTATGAATACTGCTATCACCTAGTCGGGCAAAGTGATAATAATAAGTTGAGGAGTGATCATCTGACATACGCTAGCCAATCGGCACGCTGAGTTGCGTGTGCGTATCGTACAGCGTTTAGTACAGAATTTTAAATTTGATTAAAAAAACTCCACTTATTTCATTTAGAAATATTTATTTTTTGTAAATTATATCAAAGTACTATTAACTATATTAATTAAACTAATATTAACGAAAAGTATTATTAACAATTTTTGGTATAAATTATATAAAAAATTAAATGCTTTTTAGTTTATTTATTTGAGCAATTAACATTTTCATGACATTTGGAATTACATTTTTTTTTCTTTGGTAGCATTTGCATCTATTAGATTTTCAACCAATTTTTCAGCAGCATTAACTATAGTTGTGTCCATCAGGAATTGATGACATTCTTGCACATTCTCTAAGCATATTTTCTACGTCTTGATTACATCTTTCAACTGAACCTTGACTTTGTGAGTGCCTGGGCTTTCCATGCACCATTTTTAACTCGGACCGCATATTACACATTTAATATAATATAATATACTGTATAAGATCTCCAAGTTATATATAAAAAATCTTTCACAAAAATTAAAGACATATTTTATCACATTATGTAATTACAAGTGTCTATGATTATCTCATTTATGGGATCATAATTATTTCTGTTTTAAAACATATTCTAACAGTTGTACTTTATATGCTAATTTTTTATTTGTATTATTTGTTCTATATTTTGATATTTATTCTATGTAAAATTATAAAATTACATTGATATCTACCTCTATATGCTGTAAAAATATGATAATCTTTAAATATCAATATGCCATTTAAACTTC